GCGCTCCTCCCTCCCGGGTCCCTGCGCCCCCTCTCTCGGCCCCCTCCCCTCGCTCCCCGCCGGGGGTGTCCCCCTCAGCGACACCCCCACCTCTCGGCTGCATTGACCCCGCGCGCGCCCACGCTCGCGTGCTCCTGTTGGCAGCCACATGTGGGCCAGCACCTGAGGATGGCCGCGGCTGGCATTCGGGCGTTTGGGCTTCGCCTGGTCGTGCGTTACGAAAACGATAAAAGGGTGTGCCGGGCTCGCGCGGCTCCACGCTACTGCCCGGTGTCCCCCTGCATCTCTGCCCTGGGCATCAAGTGGCACCAGCTCCCTTGTGACGGGAAAGGCTTTCGGGCAACTCCCCACTTTGTGGAAACTTTAAGCCACCCCCCACCCCCCATTAGCTGGTTATTATTTTATGGCGTTGCTCGGCGATTCAGGCGAAATGCAGTGTAGACTCGCCTCCAGCGGTCGCTCCCCTTTCTCCATGGCTTTCTCCGTCTCTTCGGCTGTAGATTCCGTTTTCTCCCCCGGCTTCCCGAGCCTCCCTGTTTACACTCCTCCATCAGTCCCTCTCCGCCCGAGTACCTGTCGCTCTCGGGCTCTCTTACTTCTGGGGTACTTCAGTGACCGTCTGGAGACCAGCCTGCGGGAGGGCTCCTCTCTGGTCGCTGCTTTCCAGCCTCCTCCCTCCCTTTGCCCCGACTCCGCCATTTGGGGACGGAGCAGTTACCTTTCAGAGCCAGACTGCCAGGCAACCTGTCTCTCGGGGTTTCCTGAAAGTGATTTCAGACAGCTGTGCCCCTACTTTCTAGTGGGGTGACAGCTTGGGGATTTTGGCCTCCTGTGATAGAGGCCTGGGTTCTGGGGTGAGCCAGGACTTTGGGGACCACAAGGGCAGTTGCTGTCTCTGACTTTCTGTACCTCGTGCCCCCTCCCTCACGTGTTCCCCTAACCCCTTCCTAGCTGTTGGAGGTACTGGGGGGATTAGGCAGGAGGGAACCGCAGACATAAAAGAAATGGATGTTTGTGAAAGTGGAGACAAATCTCTCCCCTCCAGGTTCTCAAGCTCAGCCCCAGCAGCCTTGAAGAGGAGAGCTCCCGGGGATTGTCCTTTACTATTGCTAACAGTGGCAACATGTTATGGAAATAATTACCGCTCACGTAATGATGATCTTAAATAGTTTACAACATCTCCTCTTGGAGCCTGAGAAACTCCTTCTGAGCCCTTAGCCTCCGCCCCCCCTTTTCCCCCTTTGTCCCCCATTATCACCTCCCCCACAGGCACACACACAGGTGGGGAACAGACATCAAAAGTGGGAGCACTGGAAGTGGAAGCCCAGACCCTGAGAGGTTTGTGGGGAAGATGGAGGGAAAGGGAGCCAGTCAGTGGTGGCCGGGAGCTCTGCCTCCCACCAGCATGCCAGCAAACACTATGGCAACCTGGATTCCAGTCCTCTGCCTTGAAGCTGCAGTGATTATATAATTCACAGGAGCAATTTTGTCTCCATTCCTGGATGCTGTTCTCAGGTGAAGGAGCCCCAGGGTCCCTCTCTCCCTCCATTTCCCACCCCTCTTCCCGGGTTGGCATTGTCTAGGTTTTTTGGGGGGGAAAGAGAAGAGGAGGGTGCCAGAGGTAGGGAAAGGCAGATGTGGAAGAGTGCGGATATTTACCAAGAAAGGGGTGCTGTGGCTTGATCACTAAAGGGGTGACGAAACCTAATTGGGGGGTTAGAGTTTCAGGAGACAGAAGGAGAAGAGAAGCCAGACGGTTACCTCAAATCCGTCATGGTGACGAACCGGAGTGGAGGACGGAAAAGTTGCCACTGGCGGGGCTTTATGTCCTCACTTTGGCGCACTTGAGGGTGCTGAGTGTGTTCCCCAGCTTTTGCATGTTCTGTTGTGTGGGGTCAGGACAATGAGCACGGCGTGATCAGCACCTTGGAACAGCCTGGGTGGTCGTGGAAGGACTGACTTGTGCCCCTGGGTTTCAGGCTGGGAGAGGCTCCTGGGGGCCTTCCTCACCTCTGGTGCCCTATCCGCTGGTCCCACGCCAGCCTCCCACTTCTCTGGGCTGATTTTCCATTGCAGGCTCCAGCTAGCAAATGAGTTTCTTAATAGTCAACCATTTAACAAATAAAACATCAGAATGTCCCTTATCTGCTGGAGACAAGGCAGAGGGGGGAAACATGTGTTCTGGGAGTGGAAGACACACTGTGCTTTTCTTTTAACTACTTAGCAATACAGCAGAATAGTAATCATCATAATAAAGTAATAATAATAATGGTCACAGTTAACTCTCTTTACAAATGGTCAAAAAACAATGCTGCCTGCACCTCAGCTTGGGCAGGTTCAGAGAGTGTGACATTAGCTTCTCTTTTTCTGGATATTGTATGGAGAAAACTGGAGAAAAAGGGCTATTGAGGTTCAAAATCTTGTTCATAGCGTCGCTCACATACTCTCCAGTGTATCAGAATAGTACATAATAGAATATATTACAAGAATCAATTATTCATTATTTCCATAGAGAACACGCTAACAGTATTCAAATGTGTGCCACACAACACACACACACACACACACACTCACACACTCTGAATAAGGAAAGCTATTTTAAATAGATTACACAAGAGCCTAATACACTTCAGGGACCCAGTGTGTTGCAAAGTGGAATATTGGTAATGCAGTCCGTTAAGACTGTTTGGACATTTCTACCTCATATTAAGTGGCGAGTTCTCTACAGGTAGATGCTACAGGTATGGTACTTTGCAACTTGAGCCATTAGCCCCTGGAGCCAGCCATCTTTCAGTCTCAGTGATGACTTAGGATTCGTTCTTCAATTTTCTCTTTGACTAAAAAGTGCCTGAAGTGGGTTCTTTTGTGTATAAGACCTCTACTGAAGGGGTCCAGAGAGCATAGTGAATGGGAATTTAGAGGACCTGCTGATCTTGTATCCTCACTTTCTAGCACGGGCCCGGGGATCATTCCAGGGCCTTCTTAGTCCTTTGAAAGAAGAAGGCATGCCCACCTGAAGGAGTGAGCCCAAACCCTGTGAGACCTAGAGTGGATGCGGTTTCTGCCTCTCCCAGTAGGTGGCGCTCCAGGGCTTAGGAGTCAGGAAAGGGGCACACCACGTTTGGGGATGAAAGATGTCGGAGCTTTGGGGGAGGAGTTCCTGTCTGCTGTGCCTCTTTCATTACCTGCCTCCACGAATAAAAGCCTAAGACCCATGGGTGTTCCCCACACCACACAGAGGCCCCCATAGTGACCCCAGTCCTCTGTGACCTTTCCACTCTGGCAATGAAGTCCCACTTGGTACTTCTCACCATCTGTTGCACACTCAACTCTGTTTACCTCGAGCACACACAGTGTTCTCCTGAGCCTTGACGAGACTTCCGTGATTCGCTGAACTTGTTGTGACTGTGTATTAATTTCTCTCTGATGTACCATGGATGGTGTAATAAGCAGACAGGCCAGTGGTTCCCAAGCTCATGGGTACAGGGGGTGACCTGAAGCTTGGGAACTGGAAACCCTACCCTATAGGGTTGTGAAGCTTGTCAGCTCAAAGGCAAGAAGACATTTTCCTAACTTTATTAGTGCAAAAACACAAAACAACTTGGTACACTTCACAGCTGATTTCTGTTTATGAGTCTGGCTGCTCTCCTGCTGGGTAATGGCAGCAAAGCTCCCGAGACCTGGGTTAGGAAGTAACTGAGATTTGTTCTAATTTTTAGTGATGTTTTCCAACTCCTGGTGTTTTCTTTTCTATTCCTTTCTTCACTTGGCTGTCTTCATTGTGGTGAGTTCTATGAGGTCTGAGAAACCCGTGCAAGCGTGAGTGAGTGGCTGACACCACTTTGCCTTTTACAGTCATTCCTTTGCCTGATGTTCCAGCCGCCTGCTGGGCTGTATTACAGGCCAGCCCGCCTCATCCCCACTGTTCTGGGACTCTGAAAACAGTGCTCTGCGTTCAAAATCAGAAGACCATTTTATTTTCCAATAGGGACTAAAGAAAACCAATAGGTTGTTTGGGAAACCTCTGGAGGTTTCGCCAGTAATTAGCAAAAGAATCACATTGTGGTTTAGTCTGTTTCTAGATTCTGGCTTCACTGTTACCTAAGCTGGTGCTGGGTGCCATGGAAAAGAGCAGAAGATTGGAGGAAGAAAAGGCACGGAAAATTGTTTTACAAAATATCAGGTGCTAAATATTTGCGACAAGAACACTAAACATTCTGATAATGAAACAACACTCCAAGCCCTGGCTGTCATTATTAAAGTAATTTAGTAAACACCTGTTTACATGTACCTCAAGGTTAGCTACTGTATAAAACAAGTAAAAGTGACAGGAGCCCTCTGGGAAAACAGAATGCTTTGCAGTGCCATTTCAAACAGACTTTTCCTGAACCCATCTCAGGAAAAGCAAACTGGAGGGATGGAGGAATGAAGGTGATTGCTGTG